AGACATAGGCAGAGGGAGAAGCAGGCTCCCTGTAGGGAGCCTGATGAGGGACTCAGTACCGGGTCCCCAGGATCACAGTGTGAGCCACAGGCAGACACTCGACCACTGAGCCATCCAGGTGCCCATGACTTTTTCTTGAGTCAGTTTCAATAGTTTGTATCTTTCCAGGAATTTGTCAGTTTCATCTGATTTCTCATTTGTTGGTATACAATTGTTCATAGTATTCTCTTATAATCCTTTTTATTTCTGTAAGGTCAGTAGTAACATTCTTTCATTCCTCATTTTAGGAACTTGAGGTGGTGTTTTTTGTATTTTTTGTTTTTTTTTCTTTGTCAATCTCCCTAAAGGTTTATCAATTTTATTGGTCATTTCAAATAACCAACTTTTGGTTTCATTGATTTTTTTTTTTTATTTCTCTATTTTTCTGTTCCTTCATCCAAACTATTATTTCCTTCTTTTTGCTTGCTTTGGGTTGGCTCTTTTTATTTCTCTAGTTTTTTAAAGTAGAATGTAGGTTATTGATTTGAAATCTTTATTCTTTTTTAATGTAGGCATTTATAGCACTACTTTTGCTGTACCCTGTAAGTTTTAGTATTGTTTTAGCAGCTTGGGTTGTCAAAACAAAATACCATAGACTGAGTGGCTTAAACAACAGAAAATTATTTTCTCAAAATTCAGGAGGGTAGAAGTCCAAGATCAAGGTGCCATCATGGTTGGATTCTGGTAAGAAGTCTCTTCTCTCTTCTGCCACCTTCTTGCTGTGTCATATTTCAGAGAGAGAGCAAGAGCAAGCTTTTCAGTATCTTATCTCTCTTATAGGGAAACTGATCCCCTCAAGGGGGATCCACCCTCATGCCCTCATCTAAGTCTAATTACCTACCAAAGACTTCGTCCCCAAATACCATCACATTAGGGCTGTGTAATGAATCTTAGTGGAACATAATTCAGTCCATAGCAGCTAAGTTACATTTATATTTTCAAGCATCTCAAAGTACTTTCTAATTTACTTCATGATTTCTTCTTTGGCCCAGTGGTTATTTAGGAATATATTAATTTCCACAAATTTATGACTTCACCCAATGTGTTATTGATTTGTAATTTTATTCCATTGTGGTCAGAGAGCATACTTTATATAATTTCAGTGTTTAAAATTCATTGAGACTTGGTTTGTGGCCGAACATATGGTCTGGTCTATCCTGGATAATGTTACATGTGTGCTTGTAAAGAATGTGTTGTTTGTGTTTTTCTTTACTTATTTTTTAAGATTTTATTTATTCACTTGATTGAGAGAGAAAGGAAGCATGAGTGGGAGAAGCAGACTCCCCACCCAACGCAGGGTTTGATCCCTGGATCTGGAGATCACGACCTGAGCTGAAAGCAGATAGCTTAACTGGCTGAGCTATGCAGGCACCCCTTAAGATTTTATTTTTGAGCAGTCTCTACAACCCAATATGGGGCTCTAACCCACAACCCCAAGATCAAGAGTCACGTGCTTTACCAACTGAGCCAGTGGGGTGTCCCAAAAATGTATTGCCTTGTTGTGTATTTTGTTTTATTAAGTAGGCGTCACATCCAGTGTGGAGCCCAACATAGGGCTTGAACTCACCATGTTGAGATCAAAAGTCAGATACTTAATCAACTGAGCCACCTAGGTGCCCCTGTTGAGTGTTATATAGATGTCTGTCGGGCCTACTTGGTTTATAGTATTGTTCAAGTCTTATTTCCTTGCTGATCATTTTATCTGTTACTACAAATAAGGTATTGAAGTCTCCAACTATTACTATTGAACTATTTCTTTCTCCTTTAAGTTCAATTTTTGCTTTATATATTTTGGGATTCTATTGTTAGGAGCATGTATGTTTGTAATTGCTATATTGATATATCAAGATGATGTTATATCTTCTTGATCCTTTTATCATTCTATAATGTCCTTCTTTGTGTCTAATAACAAATACTATCTTAAAGTCTTTTTTTTTTTTGTTAGGTTTGTGGTATACAAGAACCTAGGACTATATTGAAGCTTTATAAGCTCCTGTGGACATCTCATTCCTCAGCTTTTCCTTTTAAGATTTTTGTTTGGTCTTTTGTTTACTCCAAAAATTATCCACCATCTTAGGCAGCCATGAACGTAAAAACACTTGCCTGATATTGTTTCTGACAAGTGGCCCCTATGAAAAGGAATTTTGCATTTGAGGTTTCAGTCAAGTCCAAAATAGACATCCTTGCAAGTGGAGTCTTGCAGGGAACTATTATCAGGTCAGATGATAGCGATTCTTTGGGAAGGAGGCTTTAAAAGAGTTCCAGCTCCATTGTGCTACCTCTCGTGGTTGTGAGACTGCATGGGAAATGTGGATTGTTTTCATAACTTATTGCTTCAACTTGTAGCTGGAAAAGGAATGGGACCAGGGCAAGTTAAAATGCCCCAAATTTTCTATTCCTATTGAGATTTGCCATTTTTCTTAAATACTGAGTTGCTACAGGCCTTTAGCTAGTTTCCAGGAGTTCTGAATAAGTTGATTCTGACAGTTTTTTTTTTTTTTTGCCAATTTTTTCATTGCTTTGTGAAGGAAAGAATTTTTCAAAGTCCTTATTACTTCATTACTCTCTCTAACGTAATCCATGCATCCCTTTTGGTAAAGGTAGGTGTTGAGGCAGCAGCACACTTACCAAATCAACAGTGTCAAGTTTGTCTAAGAGTTTACTGAGTCAGGAGGAGGCAAGTAATACTCCTTCTAAATGGAGATAAAAGCAAAGACCTTAAGCAGTGCTACTTCTCGGGGATCCCTGGGTGGCGCAGCGGTTTGGCGCCTGCCTTTGGCCCAGGGCGCGATCCTGGAGACCCGGGATCGAATCCCACGTCGGGCTCCCGGTGCATGGAGCCTGCTTCTCCCTCTGCCTGTGTCTCTGCCTCTCTCTCTCACACTGTGTACCTATCATAAATAAATAAATAAAAAAAAATTAAAAAAAAAAAAAAAAAGCAGTGCTACTTCTCAAAGGAAAAGGAGGAGGAGGGAACCATTATTTGAGTTTCTGAATACTGCATTTGAGTGCATGCAGTAATTTTGTTTAAGCCTGATTGTCTTTGCGATCATGGAGTCCTGGAGCCAAACTATTCTCAGATCTTCTTTATCCCAAGGTACCAATCACTATGTACAACCTAGGCCTCAGAGAATTCTCTGGGTAATAAAGATATTTCTTATAAAAGATATTTCTTATAAAAAAAAATAAAGATATTTCTTATATTTCTTGGGTAACTAAGGAAACCCAAGCAACACTAATCACTGCTCACTTCCTTAGGATAAACCCTTTGAGGTCTGTTCCTTCACCTGAGGAGGCTCTACCCTTCCTCTGTCCACCTTTCCTGCCCAGGGTTTCAGGCTCCTTGTTGGGAGGTATACATTGTACTCTCACTTGCCCTGCTTGTGACCTCTTTTCTCCATCCTTTCACGAATATTGTCCTTCTCACCATCTTTGAAAGACTTCTAATTAGTTATTTACTGAAGGTGTATAACAGCTGTCAGTTCCCACTAGTAAGACATGATAAAATTGATGGAATCATTCAGTTAATGCAGCAAAACACCGTTTCATGTGCCACGAAGAAAAAAATGTTTCTAGTTCATCTATGACACACCCACCAGTTGTAAGATGCATCCTGATTACAGATATTAAAATGGAGGAAATGTCTTAGAATCTATGAAAAATGGTAGCTTCATTTCCTGCCTGACTCTCAAATGGGAGAGTGAAAACTGGAGAGACTAGTAATACCAGGGTATACCTGAGAGCCTTAGTGAGTAAATATAAAAGCCAAAGGAAACTCCAAGATACAGCAGCCGGTGGGGATTATACAATGAATATCTTCTAAAATAAATCCTCTTACCAGAATGTTGCTGGAATCAGTGTTTACTATGATTGAAGAAGCTGAAAGGCCTTAGTTGCTTATTGATGAAAGAAACTGGAGGAATGAATAAATGTTTAAATTCCTTTAATTAAAAAAAAATTAAAAAAAAACAAAAAAATAAATTCCTTTAATTCAAATAGATGAGTGCCTACTATATGGGCAAGGAGTTGTGGTACCTTAAAATTAATGTGTTTTTTAACGTTTGTAACTTTTAAGAATAAATTTTATAATTGTATTTATTTGAGAGAGAGGGTGAGTGAGAGTGAGAGAGTGGGAGCAGGGGAAAGGGCAAAGGGAGAGGGAGAAGCAGGCTCTCTGCCGACCAAGGGAGTCCAATGCAGTGCTCAATCCTGGGACTCTGGGATCATGAGCTGAGCCAAAGGCAGATGCTTAACTGACTAAACCACCCAGGCACCCCAAGAATAACAATTTTTCACTAAAATGTTACTGAATAGTTAATTCTATCATTAAATAATAAACCTCAATTTAGTGATAGTTCTAGCAACATCAGTTTCTTAAAAGTGAAAGTTACTCACCTCCCACATATAAACAGTTTCAAAAGCAGTTGGAAAATTCTTCCAGGTCATTCCTGAATTCTTATCTAAGAAGTATTTTTCTCAGACAAGTGGATCTTCATCTACCCAATGACACATAGATGTTTCTGTAAGTTTGAGAAGTATATTATTCCCTGTGGAAAAAGAAGTGTGTTATACAATATAGCTTTTCTGATCTTGGCCAAAGAACCCAAATCTGTATATTACTTATCTCTGGCTTGCCATTTTGCAACAGTAATTATAGATCTGATTATTGCTTATTGAGAAGAGTAAACTGTTCTGAAGAAAGTGGATCTGAGTGAAGGAAGTTAGCTTCTAGAGCATTTGCAGTTTCCCAGGAATTTTCTGACTGTACCAGTGCATATAGTTTGATACTTAAAAACATTGATTCACTCAACTTTCCTTAGCTTGCCCTGCCCCCACCCAACCCATAAGTATATAGTAATCTTAAATAATTGTGGTAGAAAATCTTATTCAGGTGGACTTTCAATCAGACTTTCTTTGTTCCTATTTTTAACCTCCCTAAATTATAAATCTTTATTTTGTAGGTATCATAGCAGCAAATGTTTTTGTATTCTGTTTATGGAGAGTACCTTCTCTACAGCGGACAATGATCAGATATTTCACATCAAACCCAGCTTCAAGTAAGTCTACTTAATGACTTTATTTTGAAGTAGATGTAATATGAAAGAAATATGCTTTATGTTAATTGAAATGCTATAAAAAGGATGAGTTACTTGTCAATATTATAAGCAGAATCTAGAAGATAGACTATAAGTAAGCTCCTTGAGTAAAGGGACCTCATTTCTCTTAGTGTTATGTCTCAGGTACCTAAAATGTGCCTTGCACCTAGTAGATAAGTATTTTTTACTGACATAAGATGCATGATCACTACAAGTTTACTCTTGGAGGATACTATTATGTACAACTGCATATCTGTAATTGAAATAATTTATGAAATCCTTTTTCTAAGTGATTTTTGCTGTAAGGATAAGTTGCTTTCGTTGAACTGAGAATTTTTATTGGTTGCTTGCTAAAGTAGAAGAGAGAAATTTAGGATAACTTTTTGCCACTTTGAAAAATACTGTGGTAAACCGTCTTATTTAACTGGCTCTATTTTTATTTACTATGTTTGAATTTTTTATAATAGTAATGAAAAAAATCTAAAACAGATCATTTTTAGATCATGGTCGTGTGTCCTATGATTACCAGACTGTTTTTCATTCTCTTGTAGAGGTCCTTTGTTCTCCAATGTTGCTGTCAACATTCAGTCATTTCTCATTGTTTCACATGGCTGCAAATATGTATGTTTTGTGGAGCTTCTCCTCCAGCATAGTGAACATTCTGGGTCAAGAGCAGTTCATGGCAGTATACCTATCTGCAGGTAATAAACTTTAATCTGGGGATCTTTCAGAGTATAAGCATTCCCACCTACCTGGAGGAGAAATTAAGGGAATGATTATAGTCATAGTCTACATATGAAGACTGTATGTAGATAATTGTATAAATTGTATATAGAGAAGGATGCCACAGACTGGTGGCTTATTTTCTTTTCTGCTTCTCATCATGCTGGTTTCTTCTTAAGATTATAGGTATGTTTAGTTTTAAATCAGGATAGACAGGAGTTAAGGTTTAGTATAGATTTTACAAATGTCATTTTTATCTCATTAGGCTTGGTTTCTTTAGATCAGGCCTACCATTTTTATAAATCAGTGTTTCCAAGACTTGCTGGCTGTCTCAGTCATCTGGATCTTTGTTAAATAACCATAAACTCATTTCCCATGGTGTGTTCAGTTTCCAGAAAGCTTTGGATCAGAGCTTTGTAATAAATTGTCAAGAATGAGTTTATTCTAACTTTGCTGCAAGCATATATCTTAGTCTGGAACAGTTCCAGTCATGGTCCTGGAGATAACACCATTTCCTTATTTCAACTAGGAAATGGTGGTAGTAGATTCCAGGTTCTAGATGCTACTAAACTGGCAATTGGTCAATTAAATTTTACCCCTCTCTTTGTAAAATATACTTAATTAAAAACCACACAGCATAAAAATTCATTTCTGAAATCTCTTCTTTTTTTTTTTTTTTTTTAGATTTTATTTATTTATTCATAGAGACACACACACACAGAGAGAGGAGCAGAGGCACAGGCAGAGGGAGAAGCAGGCTCCACGCAGGGAGCCCGATGCGGGACTCGATCCAGGGTCCCCAGGATCAAACCCTGGGCTGCAGGCGGCGTTGAACCACTGCGCCACTGGGGCTGCCCTCTCTTCATTTTTTTAATTAAAAAAATTAAGTTTATTTTTTTAAAATAATCTCTGTACCCAGCATGGGGCTTGAACTCAGAACCCTGAGATCAAGAGTCACATGTTTTTCTGACTGAGCCAGCTAGGCGCCCCTGAACTCCCTTCATTTAAAAGCAGTATATCTGGGAATCATACTGTAGTGTGAAAGAAAGCACTTGAGAGTATGAAGACAGAAGTCCTAGTTTTATTAGATCCTATTTCTGCTACTTGCTGTGTGATGTTGTGGAAAAGACCATATACTTCTCTGAGGTAATGATACTTAGTCTCTCCTGACAAGGTGGTTTAGAAAGGATTAAATAGAAGCATTTACCGCAAGGCGCAGAATGAGTGCTTAGTGTTAATTAAATATCCATGCATCTGGTCCCTTCAAACTAGAAACTGAGCAATATCTTTGGCCTTCAACAGAAGTGTGTAGTTCTTTTCTCAAGCACTAGTTGTGTTGTAGGTAAGATGAGTCTGTCAGCTGCCATTTCCTGCTCTGTAGGAAGTTGTTTAAAATGAGCCATGTTCAGCTTAGATGACATCGGAGCCAGAGGGACTTGAAAAAGATCATCTAGTCTAGATCTGTGGCAGAGTCATTTGGCAAGCTGAGTAAAATATAGATTCTCTGGTCCTATTCCAGAGAATCTGATTTAGTGTTTGGAGTATGGCCTAGAGGATTCCCAGACAGTTGGTGAGTTTGGAAATAGTCTTTTTCATGTTATAGATGAGAAAAGTGAGGACTGAGAAGTAAAGTGAATGATCTGTGTCACTCAGTAAGTTGTGCAGTTGGTCAGACTCTTCTTTAAAATATCTAGAATGATAGGGTAAGTGTTTGTGCCTGCACCTTGTACTGACCTAGGTAGAGATCCGACACTGTTAGTCTCTGTGAGGTGGAGATCAGAAATGGAAACCATTTTTATACTTCACTATAATGATCGAAATGTGACTTTTTTCCCAGGTGTGATTTCCAATTTTGTCAGTTACGTGTGTAAAGTTGCCACAGGAAGATATGGACCATCACTTGGTGCAGTAAGTGTTTCTAATGTAGATTTTCTAAATTTAGTTTTTAGCTTCATTTTGACATAATTTGAGGCTTACAGAAAAGTTGCATAATTATTATGATGACTTCCTATATACCCATTACCCTACTGTTAAGTACAGAACCACAGTACAATTATCAAAGCCAGGAAATTAACATTTGAGACAATGCTACTAACTAATCTGTATCTAACTTAGAATTTATAGGGATCCCTGGGTGGCGCAGCGGTTTGGTGCCCGCCTTTGGCCCAGGGTGCGATCCTGGAGACCCGGGATCGAATCCCACGTCGGGTTCCCGGTGCATGGAGCCTGCTTCTCCCTCTGCCTGTGTCTCTGCCTCTCTCTCTCTCTCTCTCTCTCTCTCTCTCTCTCTCTCTCTCTCTCTCTGTGACTATCATAAGTAAATAAAAAAAAATTAGAATTTATATGTTTGTAGACCCTTTAAACCTCAGGCTATAGCTTTTAACCATTGGTCATTTATATATATTTGATGGAACAGTACAAATCAAGAGGAGTAGTGAAAACAATGAGTGTTCAGTCTCTAAAACCAGATAGCCTAATCTAGCATTGGAAAATTCAAAATAATTACAGATTTGATTATGATGTTTAGTCACTACTTGAGTGTCTGCTAGGCAGATTAGACTAGTAGGCACTCTACTCAAGACTGGGGATTACAGCCAGTGAGCAAGATGATCATAGTACCTGTCTTTAGGAGCTAAGTTCTGGATGCTTTAAAACATAAAGACAAATACATTTTCTTTTGAGTTTAGTGGCAGATTTATAGGCACATGGAAATCTTTGCATGACATTTCTCTAAAGACTTCATTTTATACATATTTATTATTTTTAAAAGATTCATTTATTTATTTGAGAGAGAGTGGTGGGAGTGGCAGTTGGAGGGAGAGAGAGAAGCAGACTCCCCATCAAGCAGGAAGCTGGATGCGGGGCTCTGTCCCAAGAACTGGAGATCACAACCGCAGACCCTAGCCAAAGGCAGTGGCTTAACCAACTGAGCCATCCAGGCACCCTATTTTCTACGTATATAAATGCAGATCACTTAAATGCATTGAAATAGGGGGTTTCATATTTAAAGAAACTCTAAGAAGGGCAGTCCAGGTGGCTCAGTGCTGCCTTCAGCCCAGCATGTGATCCTGGAGACCTGGGATCGAGTCCCACGTTGGACTCCCTGCATGGAGCCTGCTTCTCCCTCTGCCTGTGTCTCTGCCTTTCTCTCTCTCTCTTTGTGTCTTTCATGAATGAATGGATGGATGGATGAATAAATCTTAAAAAAAAAAACAACTCTAAGGATATTCAGTTTTAGAAGAATTCTTATGTAATCAGCCCATAATTTGTGTGTTCTTAATTTTTCTAATGAGACCTATACTTTTTCCTATAACCTACTGGATTTCTTAAGCCCTGCTTTTCCCTTAATGGAATGTTTTATTTATAAAATTTTGTGCTGATATAATTTACATATTTCAAATCCTATCCTTTACCTCATTAACCAACTAAGCACCTGTTATGTGAAGGCAACAAAGACCACTGGTATGAGTCAGAAATAGATTCTGACTTTAGTTGGGGAAAAAACATTATACACTATATGTAATACACACTGAAAGGGCTTAGTGTTCTCCAGAAGTCTTCAGGTGTTCTGAATGTGGGGAGACTTTTTTCATTAACTGAGAGGATCTGGAAGGGCTTTTTTTTTTTTTTTTTTTTAAGATTTATTCATTTCTGGGAAGAGAGTTGGGGACGGTCAGAGTAGAGAGTGAGAGAGAGATACTTTCCGCCGCCATTTGGTTCCGCGTTCGCGCACAAAATGCCTGGTTTGAAGCCACAGAAAACCGTCCCTGCTACGCGCAGGAGTTGCCACAGCCCAGGCTGAGACAGGGTAATGGAACAGAATTGACAGTGATGAATCCGAGTACCAGAAACTTGAGGGAACAGGATTCCACACAAGCAACCACACAACAAGCCCAGCTGGCAGCAGAGCTGGAAATCGATGAAGACCAGTCAGTAAGCTAAAAAGAGCCGGAGTGAAAAGAAGTGCACGAAAGGCTATGTCCAAACTGGGTCTTCGACAGGTTACAGGGTAACAAGAGTCACTATCCGGAAATCTAAGATATCCTGTTTGTCAAAAAACCAGATGGTCTACAAGAGCCAGCTTCAGTACCTAAATAGATTTTGGGGAAGCCAAGATTGAGGGATTATCTCAGCAAGCACAGCTAGCAGCTGCTGAGAAATTCAAAGTTCAGGTGAAGCTGTCTCAAAACATTCAAGAAAACAACAGACTCAACTGGTAAAAAGAGGAGAGTGAAGAAGAAGGAGGTTGATGAAACGGGTGTAGAGGTTAAGGACATAGAATTTGGTCATGTCACAAGCAAATGTGTCAAGAGCAAAGGCAGTCCGAGCCCTGAGAACAACAGTAATGATATTGTAATTGCTATTATGGAATGTAACAATGTAACCGTATGATAACGAGACTTTTTTTGGTGTTTCAAAGAATAATACTGGCTGGTTTGAAATTTTGTACTGTTTTCTATCATTAATAAAGTTATGGCTTCTTGTTGGATGAAAAAAAAAAAAGAGAAGAGAGAGGAGAGATAGACCACTCCTCATGCAGACTTTGCATTGAGTTCAGAGCCCAGCACAGGGTTCAATTCCAAGACCCCAAGATCATCACCTGAGCCAAAATAAAGAGTTGGGTGCCCAACCAACTGAGCCACCCAGGCGCTCCTGGGAGGGCATTTTGATGTGCCTCCGGACAAGTATACTCATTTTACAGATAAGAAACTGAAGTCCAAGATGAAAAGAGTGTGGCAGATACTTGGAATTAGACTGGGTTTGCATTCCAGCTCTGCCACTTATCTATGATTTCTAGAACATATTCCTGAACCTTTCTGAGCTTTAATTTCTCTATGTAAAATGGGGATAGCACATCTCTTCTGATCTGCAGTGCAAGTGTGTTTAGAATGCTTAGCATAATAAGGAGCATGTACTAAGAAATGTGGTAGTGGTAGTTCCTGCTCAGAAATCAAAATTCTGTACAGCCATGTCAGGATAAAATTGTCCCCAATAATAAAGAAATGAAATCATCAGAAATAATGGCATTTTTAATGAGAAAGCTAGAAAAAAAATATTGTCGACAAAGTTGTATTAGATGATGGGCTTCATCATAATCCTTTGTTAAAGGACCATTAAAGAATATTTGCCAATTAACATATTGGCACTAGAGAGCAAGAATACTGACGGGATTTTGATAACGGTTTTGTTAGACCTCTGTGTTTTCAGAATCTCACTTAAAAATTGTTTCTTAGTAGTTATTGGTAGGAAGCTTTCCCTACTCTACTTTTCAAAGGTTTATTGTCTGTGAAATATAACCCTTAATCTTGAGATGGCAAAGATCAATAAAATGTTTGTTGTAGGAAACAGCATTTGTTAAAATGTTAGAGAAATTTTTTTCACTTAATGATGTAGTTTCTCATAGGGTGGATTTGCTCAGTAGCATTATGATAACTTGCTTACTATAACTTCATTGATGTAAGTATCACATTTAATCTGTATATAAAAATTCTCTGCTAAGTTAGGAAAGTATCTTTTTTTGGGGGAGGGGGGAGAGTATCTTTAGTCTCTTCCTACAGGGTTGCAAGTAAAATGAAATGGTCACTAGACCAGATTCATATAGAGTTCTATTTTGATTTACCTATAGTGTCTGGAGTATATCTCTTTGTATAACTTTTTTAGTGGCTGCTCTAGGTATTCCAATATATATACACACATCACTTATTACAGTCTGCTGGTGGTGGTTGAGTGAAGTGAACCTTACCTCCCTTTTCATTCCTATGTCTTCTCCAAATTATACTTGTCTTAAATACTTGCTCCACATATATTTACAATATTAGCCACTATTATTATAAGTGCTACAATAATTAAGCATCATTTAGAAAAGTCCAAGGGAGGAGAAACCAATTATATTTATGCATAATTTTTACTTTTTCCATTGTTCTTCTGTCCTGATGTTTCAGGATTCTTCCATCATTTTCATTTTATTTGGAGAATTAGCCATTCGTTTAGGTAGGTCTGCTGGTGATACTTAGGTTTTTCTTAGAACATGTCTGCCTCTTCATTTCTGGATATTTTCACTGGATAAAAAATTCTAGGCTGACATTTCGTTGGGCACTTGAAAAAATGTTGTGCCACTTCTTTTTGGCCACAATAGTCTCTGAAGAGAAATTCTTTGTTGTTCAAATAGCTTTTTGCCTATAGGTAAGGTGTTGTTGATCTCTTTGAAAAATTTTTTTCTTTGTCTTTAGTTTTCAGAAGTTTGACTCTGTCTTGTCATGGATATCTTTGTGTTGATCTTGTTTAGGATTTGCTTAGCTTCATGAATCTAGAGTTTGTCTTTTGGGACGTTTTTAGCCATTACTACTTCAAATACTTTTTCAGCCTCACCCTTCCTCCCTCCTTTATAACTCTGATGACATAATGTTAGATCACTTACAATCTCATGGGTCCCTGAAATTTAGTTAATTTTTTCAGTCTTGTCTTTCTGTTGTCCAGACTGGGTAATTGATACTCTGTTTCAAGTTCACTATTTTGTCCTTTCCATTCTACTTGGCCTTTATTGAGTGTTTCTATTTTAGGGTACTGTATTTTTTAGTTCTAAAGTTTACATTGTTAGCAGTGTCTTCTGTTTCTTTGAGAGCTTTTCTATTTCTGTGCTATTTTTTCACTTGTTCCAAGCATGTTTGTAATTGCTCATTAAAGCATTTTTATAATTGCTGCTCTAAAATGCTTGTCAGGACGTCTGAGTGGCTCAGTTGGTTGGGCATCTGACTCTTGATTTCAGCTCAGGTCATGATCTCATGGGTCGTGGGATCAGTCCTGCTTTGGGCTCTACACTCAGTGGAGAGTCTGCTTCGTATCCTCTCTCTTGGCCCATCCTCCCTGCTTGTGCTTGCATGCTCTCTTTCTCTCATAAATAAATCTTT